TTTTTTGCACCCCTATATATCATTCTAGGTTTCGCAGGGAGAATTTGTTTTAGTGCTGGATCCTGTAATAGGATCGGCCAATATTTCTTGATAATTCGGTTTATTTGATAATTATTATCTTATGTTATCTTATGATATTATTATCTTATGTTTATGAGGGACATGGCTGGGGGGGAAACTTGGCCTTCTATGGCCGATATATTGACGACATTTTACTGATCTGGAGGGGAGAAGAAAGTGACTTAGTCTCCTTTTTAGAATTTTTAAACACCAATGATTGGGGCATCAGGCTAAGTAGCACTTGGAGTAAAGAAATAGTAACCTTTTTAGATCTTGATATTTTTATTGAAGGGGGTAAAATTAAAACTAAAAATCATTTTAAAAAAGTTGACTGCAATAGTTTTATAGAGAGTATAAGCTGTCATCACTCTCCGTGGTTGGAAAATGCCCCAAAGGGACAATTTCTTAGAATTAGACGAAACTGCAGCGATCTGGAAGTCTATGAGGAACAATCATCACGGATAAAAACTGATTTTGTCATGAAGGGCTATGATGCAGAAAAACTAGAGAAATCAAGAAATGAAATAAGAAATAGGGGGAGGAAGGATTTATTAGTATATAAAACTAAAACTACTGCCAATATACAAGATATCCCCTTTATCTGTAATTACAACAATAATAATTATCAAATAAACCGAATTATCAAGAAATATTGGCCGATCCTATTACAGGATCCAGCACTAAAACAAATTCTCCCTGCGAAACCTAGAATGATATATAGGGGTGCAAAAAAATTTGAGGAATAGCCTGGTTCGGAGCTCTCTAAAAGAACAAAATCACACCTCCACTATATTTAATAATGAGAAGGGATTTTATGGTTGTGGTCAATGCTCTGCCTGCAAAAAGTCAGGATGTAAACGAAGAATAATAAAAGATATAACATCGAATAAGGAGAAAAAAATCAAAATTAAGCAATTTATAACATGCTATACTAAAAATGTGGTATATCTTTTAATTTGTCCATGTGGACTGAAATATGTGGGGAGGACAATAAGACCACTACATACTAGAATCAGAGAACACATATATAAAATCCAGACGGGTTTCGAGCAACATAGTGTCTCGAGCCACTTTAAATTATGTCATGACCAAAAACCAGAGGGTTTACAGTTTATGGGGATCAATAAAATAAATAGAAATTGGAGAGGAGGGGACTTCATAAAAGATTTAGGCAAGCGTGAGATGGAATGGATCTATAGACTAAATACGCTAATCCCATATGGTCTTAATGCGGACTTCGAGTTGTGCCATTTTTTATGAAATTTATAAAAAAAAAATTTTTTTTTTTACCTCTTTTTAAATTTTAAGTGGGGTCATATTAAAAATTTCTTTTTTTTGTAGTATTTGGTAATGGATCTTAATAGTAATTGTACAGATTAGATAGACATGTAAGATTTATGTATTAAACATATAAGGATTTGTAGATTATTTCGTTTGGATAATTTATATGTATGTGGTAAGAAAATTTACCCTGTTAATATTGCCAAAAAATCCATCGGGGTTCAAACAATAACAATCATAGCACTTTTTATAACAATTATTTTGTAATATTTTAATCTTTTTTCGTATCAGTTAATTAATTTGCTGTCTAGAAAATAATTGATAAATCACTGTGGATATTTAGGAACAGAGCACAAAGATGAGTTACTATTTTACCTACCCACAGTGTATTCTTAAGAAAAAGAAAGGGGATATGTAACAATACCACAATTTTATTTGGGGTTTTCATTATTGTGGATTATATCAAGATCGAAATGCTAAAATGTAGAGAGATAACTGAGACCAACAATGTATTCACTACAGTATCATTGTGAATTAGAATTGATAAAATGTTACAGATGATAGAGATTGAAATATTTGCAATAATAAGAAAACTGATGCTGTTCCTTGTTTTCTCGTTTTTATTTTTTCGCTTCCTTTCCCTTTCTGTATATGAGAAAAAATATTATCCTTCGTTGGACGGACTTTTGAGGACATTAGAGGATTTAATCTTTATATTAAACAATGAACTTTTAAGATATTTATACCAGCTATTGAAAAACAAAGACGAATGGAAAGGACAAGAATGAATATAAGCATCTTCACTCCCGATATTAACATGAAAGGGAGGCATGGACCGCACACGTCGTACCTGTGGGTGGTACCGATGTGTGACGGTTAATGTGCTGTGGAATTTGCCCGCCGTTTTTGTATATTTAAACCTAAGAAGAGGGGTTCCAGGATTACTGTTGCTTTGTCACAATCCGGTTTGAAGAAGCCACGTCGGTAGTGGCGAAACGCGTCACGGTATTTTTAAGCACATTGTGGCTATTTTATTTATGAGTGTATTAAATAAATAATTGCTTTTATTTTTGAATGATCCTGGTTCCCGATATCGTTTCATTGAATGGGGAGTGCAGTCCCGAATTTGCACAACGCTAAGAAATTGAGTCAATTATTTTGACTCTACACTTGTGAGTACCCACTTAAAGATCACATATACTTTCTCTAAGACATCACAAACGATATTGCGCTATTGGGTGTATTTTTATTCATTTACAGACCTCAGGAACATACTGTGAGAAGGGTTTGGGGTCACCTGTATAGACCCAGAAGCTATTAAAACTAGAGCTAAGTCGATAGCTCTTCGCTTGTGAGTTCATTTGCTATCCATTTATAATAAATGTTTATAAGTGTGATCTATACTATGTATAATTATCTTTTCTAGACAATTTTCCTTGCTGATTTTCCAGTGACATTTTACCTCAAAAAATTGAAAAGGTGATTAATTTATTATTTTATTCATAAGCGCTACATTCTTAATTTGTTTTGTGGCCACAATAAAAGGCCTCTCTAAAATGTGCAGTTTTACTGTATTGGAGGGGTCCGACAACCAGTCAGTATCTGGTGTGACCACAATTTGCCTCACGTAGTGCAACACATCTCCTTCGCATAGAGTTGATCAGGTTGTTGATTGTGGCCTGTGGAATGTTGGTCCACTCCTCTTTAATGGCTGTGCAAAGTTGCTGGATATTGGCAGGACCTGGAACACGCTGTCATATACGCCGATCCAGAGCATCCCAAACACGCTCAATGGATGACATGTCCTGTGAGTATGCTGGCCATGCAAGAACTGGAATGTTTTCAGCTTCCAGGAATTGTGTACAGATTCTTGCAACATGGGGCTGTGCATTATCATGCTGATGAGGTGATGGTCGTGGATGAATGGCATAACAATGGGCCTCAGGATCTCGTCACGGTATCTCTATGCATTCAAAATGCGATCAATAAAATGCACCTGTGGTCAATTGTCCATAACATACGCCTGCCCATACCAATGCCACCATGGGCCACTCGATCCAAATCGTTGACAGCAGCAAACCGCTCACCCACACGACACTATACACGCTGTCTGCCATCTGCCCTGTACAGTGAAAACCGGGATTCATCCGTGAAGAGAACACCTCTCCAAAGTGCCAGACGCCATCGAATGTGAGCATCTGCCCATTCAAGTCAGTTACGATGACGAACTGCAGTCAGGTCGAGACCCCGATGAGGACAACGAGCATGCAGATGAGCTTCCTTGAGACGGTTTCTGACAGTTTGTGCAGAAATTCTTTTAGTTATCCAAACCGATTGTTGCAGCAGCTGTCTGGGTGGCTGGTCTCAGACGATGTTGGAGGAGAAGATGCTTGATGTGAAGGTCCTGGGCTGGTGTGGTTACACGTGGTCTGCGCTTGTGAGGCCGTTTGGATGTACTGCCAAATTCTCTGAAACGCCTTTGGAGACGGCTTATGGTAGAGAAATGAACAATAAATTCACGGTCAACAACTCTGGTGGACATTCCTGCAGTCAGCATGCCAATTGCACGCTCCCTCAAAACGTGCAACATCTGTAGCATTGTGCTGTGTGTTAAACTGCTCATTTTAGAGTGGCCTTTTATTGTGGCCAGCCTAAGGCACACCTGTGCAATATGGATTATCTCGGCAAAGGAGAAGTGCTCACTAACACAGGTTTAGACAGATTTGTGAACAGTATTTGAGAGAAATAGGCCTTTTGTGTACTTAGAAAAAGTCTTAGATGTTTGAGTTCAGCTCATGAAAAATGGGGACAAAAACAAAAGTGTTGCATTTATAATTTGTTCAGTGTAATTGTATATACATACATACATTCACACACACACACACACACATACAGCATATGACTCACAGTACATGTTGGCATTCATGGTTCCCTCAATGAACTGTAGCTCCCCAGTGTCGGCAGCACTCATGCAGGCCCAGACCATGACACTCCCACACCATGTAGGCAAGACACACTTGTCTTTGTACTCCTCACCTGGTTGCTGCCACACACACTTGACCCCATCTAAACCTAATAAGTTTAACTTGCTCTAGTCAGACCACAGGACATGGTTCCAGTAATCCATGTCCTTAGTCTGCTTGTCTTCAGCAAACTGTTTGCAGGCTTTCTTGTCATCTTTAGAAGAGGCTACCTTTTGGAATGACGGGCTCTCTCTGTGGGCATGTGGTCATGGGTCGCCGGTCGGCTGCAATGCAGAGTAGGCAATGAAAAATTAAAGTGTGCTGTGCCTTTAAGACTCAAAACAGTGAAAATAATTTGTGCAATATTGTGCAAATAAAGTGATCAAGTGCATCAATGTGCAACTCACTTCAACATATATACATACAAAATGTGCAAAAAATTGTTTCTTTGTGCAACCAATTATGTGCAAAGATACAATACTTAGCTTTTCCCAATTATGGAATGTGCTTTAGAACTTCTGTCAGCACTCCAATATATGTCTCAAAAAGAGAAAGGAAATATACAATCATAGGGTAGTATGTACATACACAATGATAAAGAAAATGTAAACCAAAACACTCACAAGGGTAGAGCAATATAAGTCTGCTCTAAACTTTGTAGGCTTATATTGCAATAATGTAGACTGGAAACTGTGGTGAAGTTAAATCCTTTATTGCTTCTTTAAAAATATCGCTGCATTGAGATGGCAATGAAAATGAGCAGTTTTATTTTTCTTTTCTAAAATCAGCACATTATAACGTGTAAGGTCAAATCTTTAAAAGGGACACTCTGGGCACCAGAACCAATTTACTGCATTCCATAAGTTTTGACCTCATTAATATGCTGTATTTTTTTCTCTTTTTGCATACTCAAATTTTATAGAGTTAATGCAAAAAATAAACGTTTTGTAGAATGAAGCACCATATGCCTGCCTCCTTAGCCACATCCCCTTGTGGCAGTAAGACTTACTTATCAAATGTATGCACACATCTCAGCCCCCAACAGCATGGAGTGAGCAGCTTTTAATTCACAACCTGGCTGCAGACAGTCAGAAAAACAAACAGGTAGTGATATCTTTTCTATATGCCTGCCTGGTAGCCTTCTCCTTCTAATGAAGGCTTTGCAGTTCAGATCATTCAGTATTGTCGATGGCTGAACTGTGTGTATATGTGGTAGGCAAATAGTAATTTCAGGCAAAAAGGTTTTTGCCTAGGCCAAGTTATTTTAGCCTAAATAGGATTCAGGCAAATAGTTTTGAATATTTCTTACAGTTCAAAGCCATTTGCCTAAGAAACAAGGGCTCATGCAACACGGGCTGGGAAAGTGGGCTCTTCTCACCAATAGCCACACAGGCAACCTCAGATAGAGACCCCTGCTGAAAAAAATAACATCCAGGCATCCTCAGTGAGACACTTTCTTTCAGGCATCCTCAGTGAGACACTTTCTAGACGGTTATCATCAAGGAACCCCTGAAAGTGTCTCCTGCAAACAAGCATCCAGGAACTTCAGGAAAGTGGCCCTTGCTTGCCAATAGCTGCTTAGGCACTACAAGAACATTGCCCCTGCTCACCAATGCACACCAAGGTACCCCAATAAAGTGACCCCTGTTTCCCAATAGGTGCCTAGGCACCGCACGAAATTGGCCTTTGGTGGCCAAAAGCTACATAGAATTAAAGGAAAGTGGCCCCACTCACCAATTTGCTTCCACATACCCCTAGAAAGTGTCCCTTGCTTATCAATAGGCTCCAATGCAACCTCTAGCCATCTAGAATCCTTCAAGGAAAGTAGGCACTGCTCCTCAACATACTTCAAGGCATCACTTAAAATTTGCTCCTATCAGAAATAGGCTCCAATGCAACCCCGAGGAAAGTTTCCCCTGCTTGTCAAATGATTTTGACTGAATACCAGTTAGGCAATGGTGTTTTAAAGCTAAAATAACTATTTGCCTAGGCAAAAGCTTTATGTCTGAAACAACTATATCACATATACATATATTTTCTCCCTTCTTTCTTGAGCTAAGGAGGGAACTTATGATGGAGCATTAAGCAAAACAATATTATTTTTCTTTTTGCTCAAAAAACTAAATTATTTGAGAATGCCCAAAATTCAGCATGAGGCCACAGTGTGAAATGTATTAAACGTCAATCCCTTTAAATTTTGTGTAAGACCATTTTCATTTGGGGCATAGAAATAAAATATACATGAATAGTTTTATTTAAATACAACAAACAGTGCCATAACCCAACATATGAAGATAAATCCAAAGTTGTTTTCAGCTATGAACACCGAAATGAGTTTATTACATCGTTGCTCAACATTATTAAAAAGGAGGGGCACTGTAATCAAGATACAATTAATGCCTGTAATATTCTATATCCACAGATGTCTTACAGTATCTCATGTAAAATATTAACTATGCATTAGTATTACAGTACCCATTAGATAATAAAGACTCTTTGGCTCTGCGTTAATTGAGCCTAGTGGAGAGATATCTATGCAATTACGACTAGGTTTAGGACAATCATATATAAAAACCTACCACATCAGTAAAGGGAATCTGTCAGGACTCAGCTAGCCTTCCACAGCCATGTATTCAGAGGTGGGAGTTATACTTCTGTATACATCCGGTCCGCCCACAGTCTTTTTTTTTTTTTTATCTGCCATGCTTGGGTACACTTTCCAAAAGTCAGGCAAACCTATGTGATGCAGACATGCTGGCTTCATTTCCTGTTTCTGAACAGAGCAGTGTTAATTTTGTCGACTAAAACTAAAACAATTCAGAAGACTAAAATATGACAAACTAAAATGGCTTTTTAATCAAAAGGCTATGACTAAAACTAAATTGAAATTTGCTGCCAAATTTAACACTGGAACAGAGTGACATCAGTCATTGCATTTCTCTATACCTCAGCTAGCGCTAGGGTGCTAGCCATGTTTGTTACTTTACATGGAGGGCAGAAGGACTCTTCTGATCTCCTTTATCAATCAATTCTTTGATATAGGCTATGCTGAGGAATTGATTGACAGGTGGGATAAAAACTATTTTGGAATAGATTTTTCTCACAATCTACACATTTGCTAGCACAATGTATAGCTAGAATGTAATGCTCTCAAAAAACAAAAAAAACATTTAAACTACAAAAAGCATGAAAAAGTAAAGCTAAATGCTTTGGCATGGTTTCTTTCTTTTCTGTTCACTTTTAAAAAAGACTGACTTTTAGTAAACATGAATAACCTATTTAAAAACATGTTTTTCTCCCACCTGTTAGTCAGTTCTTCAGCAGAGTCTATACCGAAGAATTGATTGACAGGGAGAGCAGAAGGTACCTACCACAGGTGGTCCTCCTGCTCTACATCCACCATGAATGCTTTGTGGTTGCTATGGTAACTTAGCTGGAGCTGCTTGTGCTGGCTAGACAGTATAGGAACGGAGTGACTGATCAGTGAAGACCACAGGAGAAGTGAGGGCGAGCTGATAGTGGGTGATACATAAATGTTACACTCACCTCTGTAAGGAGATTGCAACAGGGGAGCAGAGGGTCAGGCAAGTTGTGGCAGGTTTATTTTAATATTTGATAACCCTCATTAAAATAGTAAAAAATAAATAAAAAATTTATAAAAATGAAAATAAGTCTCTTTAGATGGGTTACGAAGGTGTTTCTTGATCCATGTTGAAGAGAAGGTAGCAGGTCTCCAGTCTATCTGGTCCCATCTGGTGTTCAAACTGTGGCTGCAGATCTTTAGGTGTCAAACCTTTCAGGAAATGGCTGGAGATCTCTTCATACAGGGTTTGTCCAACATCCCCTTTAAGTAGAAGTGAAACACATAATAAAAACCATATAACTTACCCTGTTTTCTGTTCACCTGTAACTGTCTCGACATTAGATTCAAAGTGAAAACATGGTATAATGTTAAGCCTGTAGGGTATGTAGGATTCAAAATTATTTTGTAATAAATCACAAAATGAATGTGTGTTTTATTCAGTGAAAAAGGAAAGTAAATGTGCCTTGAAAGAAGTCCACTTACGCAAGAGTGTAATATTGATATTCAAATATAAAGATTAGGGAAACCAACCACAAACACACACAAACAAAAACAAATACATTAAATAAAAAACCCAAAAACCACAGGTTTAAAATCCACAAACTTACTGCTTAAACTGCTTCCAGTGACTCTCCTCAAAACTCTGCTTTCCTGTTCCTGTTTTCCACTCCAGGTACTCTACCATAGGAGAGCATACATTTGAGGAGAGCCTCTGAAAGCAATTTAAACCATAAGTATTGCAGAATAAAAAAATGCATAGCAATGCATATTTTCACCAACAAAGTTTTGGCTAACCACAAATGGACTCAATCCAACTGGCCAACCACCAATCAGAGGGGATTCAGCCTTCAGGCTATGAATAAATAGTTCAAAGTGGCTAGCCCTAAGCAAGGCAGCAAAAGTAAAAAGAAAAATTCAAGTACATAGTCCTAAAATATAACTGATTTAAAACACTAAGATCCTATTACTTATGGATAATTAACACAGTGTTGACAAAGAAAGACTTGAATGTTATTAAATCATTTTATCAATTCAATTGTTTCTATCAATCGTTTTTATCACTCAGTGCCATTCACTTAACAGTATTTTAACCAAATTGTTTATGCAATGTTGCACCTTGTAGTAGGCATTCCAGGTTAAACATGTTTATCTATAAAGCCATCATCGAGATAACTATATTCAAGTCACTGTGTCAGCGGCTACATTTGTTTTCTTTTACCAGGAGACATTTTCTTACTAGGTTTTCATTTTATATTAAAAAAAAATATTTTTTTTAAATTGGCAAATACCTACAAAGGTATTTTGTGTTTCTTGCCATGGCTTATGCCATATGTGTTATATTTCTTTATATGCGTTGTCATCCATTTGCATTGCCCAATAAAACAAGTATTAAAAAAAAGAAAATAAGAGCAGTGGTAGCATGAAAGACTGGCATGATCTGAAAACATATCAATTCAAGCAAAAGATTAAAAAAATGTATAAAAAAGTGATAAAGTGCTATATTGTCAACTGACACCTCTTGCCTATGCCAATTCAGATAGTGTCCAATCTGTAAGCAATCTCCCTTGCTGGTATTTTTAACAGCCACCCGTAGGTGGCAGAGTCAATAATCCATACAGATAAAAGTAAAGCTAGAATAGAAATTTTAAGCTAGGCAATGGTGTTCCCTAATTCGCTCTATGAAATAAAAGGTAATGAATGTCTATACTGGCATCTATGTATTTGCCAGCCTGTCTGTTTCAATATTATATCTGAAAGGAAGAAAAAGCACCCAAAAGATGTTTTGCTTGTTTACTTATCAGCATATATCATGTTAATCCCAAGTGTCTGGGCACCTGAGTGGATTGTTTCAAAATATATAGCACCATAACCATTTCAGTGTAGGTGGTTATAGTGCAAAGACCATTTCACTGCAGGAATTTAATTTGAACAAGTTTTTTACAATTTTTATTTGGATGAAGGCATCTTTAGCTGTGCCTACTTCCATGTTCCTGCCTTGTCAACCAGGCAGCTGCTTCCACATTCCTGCCTTGTCAACCAGGTAGCTTTTACTTCCTACCTTTCAGTGTAGGATCTGTTAACCCTTCAACTCTGCATGGGATATATTTACATTTCCAGCTCACCCAGTTATCTCTTAATTTCGATCACCAGTAGGTAAAGTCCAGATAAATATTGTAAAATAATTGTCATTGATGCAAGTTAAGTTGTTATGGAAAATGTATCAAATCTATTTAAGGAATTATCTAGCCCCGGTATTCCAAGGTCCAGGAAACATTTGGCTACAAATTCAGCCATTTCATGGTGTTAAACACATAACTCTCTTACCTATGCATTGCTGGCGCATTGTTTTGAGTGTTTGTGACATACAATGTAAGTCCTGTTCTTTACTGTCTTCTTCGAAGGTGTCATTATCAGGATATACATCCATTGCTGATCGAGCATGGGTGACCACCATCTCCAGAGTGTTTCCCTCAAACTCTTCAAAATCATCAGGGTATTCGTTGTCACCATCACTGCCACCATCATTATTATTGAAACCTGAAGATATCAATTTAAAATGTGTCATAAAAGTTTACATAGAATTTTGGTAGAATTTTAGAGGTTAGAATGTCACCTTTGGGGAGAGGGGATTAAAATATATGCAAAGAACCAAAAGTGACAGAGACACTTTAAAAAGGAGAATTCTATGAGAATTTAAGCCTGATTATCAAGTTATCCTGACATTTTCTGCAATTACCTGATCTATAGTCATCTGAAAGACACCATACATCCTTTTTGGACTATTTTATATTGTGACCAGGTGTTTCTTGGGACAGTATTGCCCGCGGAATGCTGGTCACTTTAAGGCAGGGGAGGCGGCTGTTTCCCAGCCTTGAGGTGCTCTTATTATTCTATGGGCTCTGTCACTCTCTTCCCCCGTCTTCAGTGGGGGTTATCCCGGTCTACACTGCTCAATACATCATCGCCCAGGTTCAGATACAATTTATTTTGGCCCGTTATCTCCAATCCTCACCTGATAGATTCAAGATGGCTGTTGCTCTGGTTCCTGTTTTCTCAAAAAGTACAATGGTATTTGTTCAGAATATTAGCATCGAAGGGCAGTTAGAGCAGGCTTATTGGTGTTTGAATCTACTATGACACACCCAGCTTACCTAGCAGGCACATCCTAAGCCACTCTTAAATCTGTTACCCTGATAATAAACAGCCTCTAACCCTAAATCACTCGTCTTACAGGGTTTCTATAGGCACCAAAGCAACTTTTGCTTTATGAAGTTGTTATGGTGTATAGAACATGCCCCTAAACTAAAGTCTCATTGCTCACTTCTATGCCATTTAGGAGTAAATCACTTAGTTTATACAGTCTTAGTCACACCTCCCAGTATGTCTGCACCTCTCCTGCTCTGTTAATAGCTTTCTAGACCCTGCAGAAGCCTTCTGTGTAAGAGTAAAGTTCAATTTATAGAGCAGGAGATAAACAATTCTAAAGTAAGTTAATATCTAATTGAAAATAAAACCTTTTTTTTTTAATGTAGGTTTTAAGAGTTACAGGAGGGGTATGACTAGGGCTGCATAAACAGAAACAAAAGATCTTTAACTCCTAAATGACAGAGAAGTGAACGGCCCTCTTTATTCCGAAACAGATTTTCAGTCTATACACAGTGAAATACTGTAGAGGCTTCGCATTGATAAGACTCTGAAGGTCTTGCTCTGATTAATGCACTTACTTGGGAAATCCTTCATCCTGGGACTCTCTCTCTGCAGTGCAAGGTTAAAGGACCACTCTAGGCACCCAGACCACTTCAGCTTAATGAAGTGGTCTGGGTGCCAGGTCCAGCTAGGGTTAACCCATTTTTTTTATAAACATAGCAGTTTCAGAGAAACTGCTATTTTTATCAATGGGTTAAGCCTTCCCCCTAATCCTCTAGTGGCTGTCTCATTGACAGCCACTAGAGGCGCTTGCGTGCTTCTCACTGTGATTTTCACAGTGAGAGCACGCAAGCGTCCATAGATGCTTTCCTATGCGACGGGCTGAATGCGTGCGCAGCTCTTGCCGCGCGTGCGCATTCAGCCCAGGAGGAGGAACAGAGGAGGAGAGAAGGAGGAGAGCTCTCCGCCCAGCGCTGGAAAAAGGTAAGTTTTTAACCCTTTCCCCCTTCCAGAGCCGGGCGGGAGGGGGTCCCTGAGGGTGGGGGCACCCTCAGGGCACTATAGTGCCAGGAAAACGAGTATGTTTTCCTGGCACTATAGTGGTCCTTTAAATAAGGCCTTGGAATAAGGCACCTGTGACAGGGATGGGTGCAAAACCGAGTAGTTACCATGTTCTCCCAAATATATTTCAGGGACCTAGTTAACCTTGCTTTGTGGAGGGGCGGGACATATTGCATGTATGCTCTCTGATTGACTAGAGATCGGGAGTTGCACAATAGTAGAATCAATATGGAAGTTGAGGGAAGACACACTAAATGGGAAGTTAGGACTGAGACACTATTGGGCTGGGAGACTAATGGAGGCAGTGTAGAGACACCAAACAGGGTGGTGCATGGGCAATAACAGGGATGGGTTAGGGGTAGGGACACAAATGGGGGAGTGTTAATGCAGAGACACGGTAGATACATTACTGGGGGTTTGGAGGGACAGACAAACTGGGACTCATCACACACTACACAGCCGACCAACACTACACATAGCAGGTACACACCAAATACGCAGCACACACTGTGCATATTACACGCAGTCTACACATGTATTAGACTCAGACTTGCGCACAAATTCACACTCACTATGGGAGGGCAGAGGTGACCACTCAAGGTTATCCACTAAACTCTGAATTTTCACAAATTAAATCTGAATGGAAAAAGTTTTGACTACACTTGCTGTGTTGAAGAATATTACCAGATCAGCTTTTTTGTCTCCATTTTTTCATCAGGATTTGATTTGCAATAATTTGGAGATAGTAAATAAGCTTCTCTATGTCTAGGGCACACAATCTGAAATTCTTGTGCATGTCAGGATAAGTAGATTGCAGTGATGAACAAGTACAGGGAGCGCAGAATTATTAGGCAAATGAGTATTTTGACCACATCATCCTCTTTATGCATGTTGTCTTACTCCAAGCTGTATAGGCTCGAAAGCCTACTACCAATTAAGCATATTAGGTGATGTGCATCTCTGTAATGAGAAGGGGTGTGGTCTAATGACATCAACACCCTATATCAGGTGTGCATAATTATTAGGCAACTTCCTTTCCTTTGGCAAAATGGGTCAAAAGAAGGACTTGACAGGCTCAGAAAAGTCAAAAATAGTGAGATATCTTGCAGATGGATGCAGCACTCTTAAAATTGCAAAGCTTCTGAAGCGTGATCATCGAACAATCAAGCGTTTCATTCAAAATAGTCAACAGGGTCGCAAGAAGCGTGTGGAAAAACCAAGGCGCAAAATAACTGCCCATGAACTGAGAAAAGTCAAGCGTGCAGCTGCCACGATGCCACTTGCCACCAGTTTGGCCATATTTCAGAGCTGCAACATCACTGGAGTGCCCAAAAGCACATGGTGTGCAATACTCAGAGACATGGCCAAGGTAAGAAAGGCTGAAAGACGACCACCACTGAACAAGACACACAAGCTGAAACGTCAAGACTGGGCCAAGAAATATCTCAAGACTGATTTTTCTAAGGTTTTATGGACTGATGAAATGAGAGTGAGTCTTGATGGGCCAGATGGATGGGCCCGTGGCTGGATTGGTAAAGGGCAGAGAGCTCCAGTCCGACTCAGACGCCAGCAAGGTGGAGGTGGAGTACTGGTTTGGGCTGGTATCATCAAAGATGAGCTTGTGGGGCCTTTTCGGGTTGAGGATGGAGTCAAGCTCAACTCCCAGTCCTACTGCCAGTTCCTGGAAGACACCTTCTTCAAGCAGTGGTACAGGAAGAAGTCTGCATCCTTCAAGAAAAACATGATTTTCATGCAGGACAATGCTCCATCACACGCGTCCAAGTACTCCACAGCGTGGCTGGCAAGAAAGGGTATAAAAGAAGAAAATCTAATGACATGGCCTCCTTGTTCACCTGATCTGAACCCCATTGAGAACCTGTGGTCCATCATCAAATGTGAGATTTACAAGGAGGGAAAACAGTACACCTCTCTGAACAGTGTCTGGGAGGCTGTGGTTGCTGCTGCACGCAATGTTGATGGTGAACAGATCAAAACACTGACAGAATCCATGGATGGCAGGCTTTTGAGTGTCCTTGCAAAGAAAGGTGGCTATATTGGTCACTGATTTGTTTTTGTTTTGTTTTTGAATGTCAGAAATGTATATTTGTGAATGTTGAGATGTTATATTGGTTTCAGTGGTAATAATAAATAATTGAAATGGGTATATATTTGTTTTTTGTTAAGTTGCCTAATAATTATGCACAGTAATAGTCACCTGCACACACAGATATCCCCCTAACATAGCTATAACTAAAAACAAACTAAAAACTACTTCCAAAAATATTCAGCTTTGATATTAATGAGTTTTTTGGGTTCATTGAGAACATGGTTGTTGTTCAATAATAAAATTAATCCTCAAAAATACAACTTGCCTAATAATTCTGCACTCCCTGTAGATTGGGCTACTGCTTTAGTCCCTTGGACAAGTAGATTTAAAAAAAAATTTTTTTTTTAATGTTCACAACCCTGTACATGCATACACAAATATACATAATAAAAAGGAAAAAACTATTTTTAGTGGGTTCCCAGTATTTGATTCTATTTTTTTAAGGTTTAGCCTTTAGTTGGGTTGGAGTACTGTTGTATACACTTTTTGTTTAGGACTAAAGTTTTCGATGAGCATATAGTACTCCAAATATAAAACATGCCAAGTAATGCTTTACAAAGATTTGCATTTAATCTTGGGCACTCACCTATTTCTTCTGGAATATCCTCACTCTGACATGGGTGACACTCTATCTCCTCTAGGTTCTCCTCTACTGAAGACAGACTGTCATTGTCAAAGTCTTCAGAATACTCTGATCTGTCTCCAGTACTAGACAGCTCACCCTGTTCCCATAGTTCACAAGGGTGAACATCAGGCTTATAGGAACTTGGTGGAGCCGACTTACACCTGAAATCTTCCTTGGGCACCTGATAAGCCATAGATGTTCTGCTCCGATTATCTGACAAGCAAGCATTTTCTTTATTGTCTTTCTTTTCCATAATATGTTTAAACAACTGAAGTTCATGCTTCTGAATAAACAGCTCCAAATGTCTATGGACAAAACCAAAATTCAGGATGGAGCTTGCATTTGGTCTGGATTCTGGAGTCTTTTGCAAAATTGTTCTAACCAAGTCTTGCAGGTCTGCTGAGTAATATTCTGGAAGAGGAGAATAGCCCCCTTTTACAATTTTGTAGAAAAGGCTTACTAAGTTATTTGCTTCAAAAGCAGGCTTCATGGCAGAGATCTCATAAAGGAGGCACCCAAGAGCCCATATGTCTGATTTGGAACTGTAAGGAATGTCCTGGCAGAGCTCTGGGCTGAGATAATATGGTGTTCCAACACACGTGCTTGCCATATCGATGGTGCTGCTCATGATTTTGGAGATTCCAAAGTCTCCAAGCCGAACTATGCCTTTCTTGGTGAGAAAGACATTTGATGTTTTAATATCTCTATGAAGGATTTTTATGGAATGAATGTACTGAACAGCCATAGTCAGCTGAACAAACCACTCCATAATAGTGCTTTCCGGGAAACAATCACCTTGTCTCTCTTTGATGTGATCATCCAGTGTACCTCCATCACAATAGTCTTGGACAATGAAAACATGCTCATCGTCGAGGTCACAGAAGTACTCATGGCATGTTATCACATGAGGATGCACAATTTTACGTAATATAGTGGCTTCTTGAATAATACCCTCTTTGGTTCTCATCTGTTTGGATGCGTCTATCTTTATCTTTTTGACAGCAAATGTCTTTTTGTTTTTCAAATTTCTCATTAAAAAGACTTCCGCAGTTGCCCCTCTGCCAATTTTCAGTATTTTCTCATAGTTCTCCATGGTGTTTGGCTGCAGCATAAAAAAAAATAAAACATGCAACTGCATTATTTTACAGGTACACACAACTATTTTATTTAAATTAATTTGTTTAGTAATATAGGCCTCAACTTAAAATCTTTGGATAAGCTTTTCAAATGATTTAAATTTGCTAGAAAGAAAACTCTTATTTACAAACATTCCCATAGACTTTGATGGTGATATATAAGTTTGTCGGTAGTGCCAGGAATACAACTTTGTATTCCTGGCACTACAGTATCCCTTTAAACCCTTAAGGACACGACATGTCATGATTCCCTTTTTTTTTTTTTTTGCAGTGCATTTAATGAATACAAACTTGCTTGAGGTACCCCAACGGCATTCCTCAAGCTGCTTAGTATTGATAACAAATAGGGTAAATGCTAGGCTATGCACAATTTTATAGTATGTTATATAGTATGTTTGCGATAACCCTGGTGAGACTTAAGAGTAGTTATGATAGAGTAATTATCACACATGACATTTGGTATTTCCTCTTACTGGTAAAAGATAGGTACTTAGTGAAATTAGTGTAATTGATCATGGTAAGGTATGGGATACCGTGAGCAGGAGCAGGCTGGTTCAACCTGTCTAGGCTTGGACACATGTGTACGGTGAGATAGACAGACTAGCCAAACATTGGGTTTTGTGTACAGGAAGATGTCGCTAGAAAACAGGTTAAGTCTAGCTGTCAGTACCTAAACACGCTTGCATGTTAGTATGATGTTGCTTGAAATCTGGCCTTGAGTGCACGGTTATTCTAAATTATATAAAAAGGGGACAACAGGTCAACAGAAATTAAAGAGACTGAAAGTCCATGCCGTCGTGCAGAAGTCATCTCCCGTGCTCGGATGAAATATTTTGGCTTCTGTCCTCTGGGTAGTTCGAAGTCAACCGACTCCCGATCTGCAGAGCCGCTGGTGTTGCGTGCAAGCCGCGTGTGGGTTTCCGTGCCCATATGGTGATTGTAGTGGCTGGCTTACATGCTGTATCCAAGGCTGGAGTGGAGCGGGGCATTGCAGTCCTCTGGACCTTTGAGTTGCCAGGTAAGTTTGAGTGGTCTTGTTCTTCAGTTGTGTTTTATATTCCTGGCGGTATTTCATGTGGGTGTTTGTCTTCTTGTGCTGGGGTAGAAAACGTCGCTTCGTCCGCCGCCATTTTGAGGTCCAGTTTGTAGTGAGGACTTTTGGGTTCCTTCTCCCTTGTTGAGGCTGCTTTTTGGGCAGATGGCTGCTTGGCAGTTGTGAGGCAGGTAGGTGCGCTCTGCTCTCTAACTAGACCAACTAATTTTTCAAATAGTTGGTCTAGTCTGAGCTGGAGATCAGGCAGCTGTCTTCTTTTATCAGGTGTGCTCTGTACCGCCATTTTACAGGAGCTATCCTCCTCTTCTTGTCGCTGATCGGACAAGCCTCCAGACCCCACAGCACGGCTGGTAGGTGCCGGGATTTCCCTCACCGGCAAGGGGGGGGTGCGAGGGGGGGAATTTAGCTGTGCTGTGATGGGCCCTGCGAAGGTGTAGGAGCCCGAGGGTAGAGGGATCGGCCGCCTCCCTTTCTCCCTCGTGTAGTAGGCCTCCATCCAACCGAGATCCAGAACCGTCGGACGCCAGTCAAGCTCCGGTCAATTAATATGCGTGAGGGCTCATACAGGCGCTGTAGGTATTATAATCTTCGGTTTTCCCCTGAGTCGAAGGTTTAGATAATTTTCCCCAGGAGCTCGGCCAAGATGCGTCCGGCTAGCTCGGCAGTTAGGCTCCACCCCCATGATTCCCTTTTATTCCAAAAGTTTGGTCCTTAAGGGGTTAAGCAGGCTGTTTTAGTCACAGCAAACGGACATGTGGTTAGGACTGCATAAACTCCTAAACGGCAGAGAACCGAGCAGTGAAAATACAGGGGCATGTTAATAAAAATATTTATAGTAAAATATAATAAAAACACAGGCGAGCAAGAAGAGCACTATTACCAGCCCACTTCCCACTAGATCCCAAGGAAGTCACCCTCCTACAGCAAATGGGTAGGAAGTCAGGAGGGTAGCTAAAAACATAGATAAAAATATATTTCAAGGTGTATGTGGCAGTGTGTATCCATGAGTGTGTGTATGTCTGGGAATGCATATCTATGTGTGTGTGAATGAGTCTCTGTAAGCACGGACGTATTAGCCATGAAGCAAACAAGGCATTTGCCTTGGGCGGAACTTTCCAGGGGCCGGCAAAAAAATGCAGGGCAAATGTCCTGTTAGCCTTGCGGCTAACTGACAATCCGGGCGGGCTGCTGGTCGGGCAGGCGGCGCTGGCAAGGGAGCACTCCCTTGCGCGCCTAGTGCAACACAAAACCAGCATTCACCACTGTCTGTAAGTATGATCCCATCTTTTCTCTGTATGTATATCACACATGATTAGAAAGCGAGGGCAAAACCAGTTTGTCACTGCCAATACATTGAAGAAGGTGTCTTATTAGAAAACGATCCGGTGCCAGGACATTTTGTGGTAAAAAATTGAGGTGAAAATAAGGGTAAGTAACTTAGAACTACTACAGTTGGCCATGACAGAGCAGCTTTAATCTATTCTATGTTGCTCTCTGTGGGCAATCATTTTACATTAGCGGGTATATTAAATAAACTGAAAGCTTTATAAACTAGATTGTTCCCACAGGAATAGAGCCCTTATCTCCTCCTGTATTAATTCGTCCAATTTTGTATAGTCTTAGTCATGTTTTACTGTGTCTTATTACTTGTACCATTGCACCCATGGATAGCACTGTGGAATGTGATGGAACTTTATAATTAAAAGAATAATAATGAACTGAAATCTAAATGGAAAAATTGTGGCTAAAACAATCAAGCGACAATAGCAAATTTTTGTTTTATTTCCCTTCAGATCTGCTATATTTTCACATTTCAGTTTGCTGCAATTGGAAAAACCACTGTAAATGCTTTATAAAGCACAACAGTGGTACACATTTTAAGTGACAATCAAGAGGTACATTCCATTTTTATTACTGGTAATTCCACCACTAAAAGAACGTTATCTACGTTTGTTTTTTGGAACGACAGTTCTGTGTGTTTACCCATACAATGCAATTCTATCTTATTTTTGTTTTGTTTTTTAATTAAAATGAAAACGTGGTTTATAAATCTTGCACAAACATGCCCATACATATACACTAACAACTCTCTCACAGAAACTGACAAAGTCTGCATCAACAACTACTGGCATGCCAGGAGTCATACAGAAGTTGTAAGTTTCCGTGATGGACCACAGGGGTATGAGGCAGAAAATGGAAAGACAGAGAGACAGACATAATACACCACGTACCTACCGGAGAAGGGCACTGTATGACTGCACACCGTCCTGCTGTCCAGCTTACTGGCTCCAAGGTCGGGTTACGGCAGCCCAGTGAGGTTTTCTATGAAACCCCGGATGATGTTACTCCAGCATTGCTATTGTTTTTGTTCAGTCTGGGCCTCAGGCTGTTGGCCATTGCTAAGGAAACCGAGTCCCAGCAGGCACAAATGGCATCTCCTTCCGTTAGGGGGCAGCTGGCAGCGCATGCTCGGTGCTACAGGTGGGGATGTGTCTGTTACAGTTCACTGAGTACAGCGCCAGCTGCATACTGTGTTATGCTGGCACGCACTCTTTTAATCCTGGATGTTTAAACGGGTCAAATATCTGCCAAAAATGAGCTTTATATTACTCTGGCTGATCTATGGCAAACAGCTGTAGTCCTTTCTGTGTTCTGTTCTTGCAATGGAACGTTGTGTGTCCACAATGAGAATCAGCAGCTTTGACAGATCATGTGGATTCCATGCTGTGAAAATCCTTTCACCTGGTTTTTGCTTCCCTGAGCAAGTGCTGTAAAGAAGCCTTTGGCCCTAATGCCAACAAACAAAAATTAGGCTCTTTACTTAGAGAGCCTACATGAAAAACAACATACTATTAAAGCTGCCCTTGGCACTTTGCTGGTTTTGTTTTTATATTAACAAGTTTTCAATTATTCCTTTTTATTTTTTAAATTTCACCTTTTTTTTCTTAAATTGTACAAGATAATATAGGGTCTACTTTTTCTTATGAGAAGCATAATCTTCAGTAATTTAATGGCAACGTGCAGACATTAAAGGGTTACAGTATTAGCCAGCCCAGAATTCTTATTCCAGGTTGGCTAATGACCCTGCCTGGGGTGAAGTTACTCCTCCAGCAGCAAAGGGATTAAACTGTGCACAGCATTTCATAGCTAAACGTTGCATATACACAGGGCCGTCTTTAACACGGGGCAAACGGGGCAGCTGCCCTGGGCCCAGTTACTCCTGGGGGCCCAAAGCAACTACCTCATTTGCCCTCTGCCCGATTTTAAAATAAATTGTGGGCAGCTGGACCGCACACTAAGGGGGCCCATCAGGTTTGCCCATGCAGTTAGGGCCACCCAGTGGGCATGTCTAAGCAGGGGCCCTATGGCCCTTTAACAGCTCGACCGGGCCCCTTGCTATTCGGCAGTATGTGGGACCTCCCAGCTAGTGCAGGAGAACCCGGAAGAAGCAGTGCGGAGGAGGCCAGGCCGGGAGAGCTGGACCCCAACTCCCAGCCACCGCAGCAAGCTCACTGGACCCCTGTGTATGTGTGTCAGTGTGTGTATCTCTATGTTGTCATTGTGTGTATCTGTGTATCTATACATAGTTAGTGTGTGTGTCAGTGTATCTGCATGTGCATCAAGTTGTGTATCTGTGTGTCTGTATGTGTGTAAGTGTATCTGTATGTTGTCATTGTGTGTATCTGTATCTATACGTAATCAGTGTGTGTATCTGCATGTGTGTTAGTATGTGTATCTTTGTGTCTGTATCTGCATGATTGTCAAGTTGTGTATCGGTAGTGAGTATTAATTAAAAAAATATATATATATATCAACCCCCTACGCCCCAATACTATCCCCCTCCCCAATATTAACCCCCTCCCATTCACTTACCTGACCGCCGCAGTTCTCCTGCCGGCGATCGGTCTTCTCCATCTGGTAGCCAAGACAGTCCCCCCTCTGCAAATAAGGACCCCCAGGGACCATGTGACCGCTCTAAAAGAGGTGTACATAGTGCTGCCAGCAGTGGGACTGCCTGAACTGACAGGCTGATGAAAAAAGTGAAAGTAAGTAAAAAAAAAAAAAAGTTTTGCAATAAAAAATAATGTTAATAAATATATATATATATGTATATATATGACATATATATATATATATATATATATATATACATATATACATATATATCTATATATAATGTCATACTATCATAAGTGTATTTTTTTATTAATCTATGCATATAGTAATATAAAAATACACTTAGAGTAAAATTACACACACACATATATATATATAATAACTATATATATTGTATATATATTATGAAAAAATGAATAATAATTAAAAATGAATTTAAAAATGTAAAAAATAATTTAAAAAAGTAAAAAAAAATGTATATACAAATACACATGTAATTTTATTTTAACACTTAGAATGAAATTATATATATATATATATATATATATATATATATATATATATATATATATATATATATATATGTATGTACATATAAATAAATAAAAATAATACGAAATGCACATATGTCCATATACATAATTACATAGTTATATATTAATTTCATAAATATACACGTATACTTAAAATATATAAATATGTATATATATTTAAATTCTACGGGCATATTTATGTAATATTTTTACATATTTAAATAATTTTATTGATTGCAATTTGGGGGACCTGCCTGACAACCCAGGCTAAAAGTCCAGAGAATTTAATTTGCTAGCACTATATTTTACCCTGTAACTTTCCAAGACACCCTACAAACTGTACATAGGGGTATTGTTTTACTCAGTAGACTTTGCTGAACACAAATATTAGTGTTTCAAACCAGTAAAATTTATTACAGCGATGATATTATCAGTGAAAATGAAGTTTTTTGCATTTTTCACACACAAACAGCACTTTCACTGAGGATTTCATTGTTGTGACAACATTTTACTGTTTGAAACACTAATATTTGTGTTCAGCAAAGTTTCACGAGTATAACAGTACCCCCATGTACAGGTTTTATAGTGTTTTTGAAATTTACAGGGTCAAATATAATTCCATTTTTTCACATTGAAATTTGCCAGATTGGTTATGTTGCCTTTGAGAGTGTATGGTAGCCCAGGAATGAGAATTACCCCCATGATGGCATACCATTTGCAAAAAAAGACAACCCAAGGTATTGCAAATGGGGTATGTTCAGTCTTTTTTTTTTTTTTACATTTGTATTTTATTAGAGTTTTAAGGCTCAAAATACATCTGGATCGCAGTACATAAAAGAAAATAACACAATATAGGAACAACAGGTGTTTCTGGTATCAGCAGGCGTCTGTGTGTGACCTGTGTGGGACATGGGGCGTGCATTAGCTTAACAATCCTCACTAAATGCTTACATGATAAGTTGGGGTCTGGTGAACTTTAGACATTGCATACAGTCTAGCTACCCTGAATGCATATATACATAGAGAAAATTCCTGGATCTATAATTGTCGACATTATGTGTAGACCCAACCATGTTTTTTGTACTTCACATCTGTCATTAAGTGTCTATACACCAGTCGCTATCACAGCATTTTCCTGTCACCTGTAATCACAATCTCCCTAACAGTATTCATGGGATATCATTTGACACTACGTGAGGCGTGCCACGAATATATATTATACTATGTCGCCTGGCTTTCATGTGTGCACAGACAGTCTTTATCAATGGCACGGAGTACCCCGAATACAGGTAATAGACCATGGGACCTGACACTGTATGTAGACAGTAACTGGTGGTCAAGAGGAACGTAGCCACCACTAAACATGTTAACAACAAACTAAAACAAACAATGTCAAACAAAACAAAGCATAACTTGACCTTCGTAATATACACATGGTGTGTGCATATGGGGTGATGTGTCTAAGGTGTGGTATGCAGGGGCGTACCTAGAGAATTTGGCACCCGGGGCGGATCCTGTGCTTGACACCCCCCCCCCCGTAAAAATGTTAAAGGTTTTCTTTCTTTTTTTTTTTACAATTTGTAAACTTTGCAAAACCGCTGTCAGCCCCTCCTACAAAACCCTTGTCCTGCCCCGCCCCTCCTACAAAACCTCTGTCCTGCCCCTTCTACAAATCCTGTACTGCCCCGTCTACAAAACCCCCGCAACCCCCTTCCACAAATCCCCTGCTTATCCCCCCTTATAAAGACTCCTGTCCCAATACAAAACCCCCACCCCCTTCTACAAAATCCCTGCAGCCCCACACACACATTTACAGCAGACAGTCACACACTCAGTTACAGACAGACAGTCACACACTCATTTACAGGCAGACAGTCACACACAGTCACAGGCAGACAGTCACACATACACATTTCCTCCGTGCGGCCAGTTTATCAGCTGTTTGCTTGAGTGAGCTGTACTGGCCGCACGGCACCCTAACTTCCATGGGACACTGTGCGGCCACAGCTCACACAGCCCCTCCAGCCAGGGCCGGTACAAGGATTTTTGCCGCCCAAGGCAAAAGTAAAGTTTGCCGCCCCCCATGTGACATCACAATGCCCCAGCCATATGATTTGCCATGTTAACTAACGCCAGTGCTGCAGTGCCGCCGTGTTTACATTAAAAGGCCTGCAGGGACAGGCTATAGACACCAGAACCACTACATTAAGCTGAAGTGGTTCTGAGGACTATAGTGTTTCTTTAATGTGAGATAAATTAGAGCTTAGTGCCACAAATAATATACTAGATTGCCTACTTACAACCAGATGAGGGTGATGATGGGCTCTAGCTGCAGCCTGGCTCCACTGGTCTGGTGCAGAACAGGCTCTCTGGAGGCGGTTTGTAACTGTGGTCACAAAAATCAATGTTCTGGGAGAACGGGAAGCAGCTCCATTTTTTGGGGGTCCTTTACACAGCTCAAGGTCTGGGTCCCAGGGTCCACCTTCATGTTCCACCAATGAGTTTGTTCACAGGGGGTGGAGTGTGTAGGGGATGTCCTGATATGTGTGTAAGGAATGCATTGTGTGAAATTGTGTTTGTATGTGTAAGGGCTGCAAAGTGTGTTTCTGTGTATGTATGGGATGCATTGAATGTGTGTAAGGGGTGCATTGAGTGTGTGTAATGGATGCATTGTGTGTTTCTGTGTGTGTAAGGGATGCATTGTGCGTAACGGTTGCATTGCTTGTGTATGTGTGTCTGTGTGTGTAATGCATTGTGTGTTTTTCTGTGTGCAAGGGGTGCATTGTGTGTATGTGATGAATGTCAATCTCTCCTCCCGCTCCAATTTCCTTCTCCTCCTCCCAATTTCTCTTCTCACCCCCCTCCCTCTTTCTCACCCCCCTCCCTCTAATTTCTCTTTCTCACCCCTCCTAATTTCTCTTTCTCCCTCCCCCCTACCTCCCTGTAGCGTGGCCGAGCCCTGTATAGTCCGCGGGTACAGGGAGCATCTGTTTCCTGTACCCGGCCGGACTAACAGGAAGTGCACACTCAGTGTTTGTGACTAAGTGGCTACTAAAAAAGACTGAACATGGGGGGCGTGGCCGACCAGCTAACGGACCAGACGTGTGCACGTGGAGCTCCTGTTAGTCCGGCCGGGCCAGACGTGTG